GGCAAGTAACTACACACTAGTTCACACATATTCACTTAACAGGTTCTCAGGAATAAAATATTTCAATGATTTTTTAAAAAATAATTTTGTCAAGCAGAATATAAAATCGAATCTTTAACATAAAAAACCCTCCAGACATATACAAATCCTTTTTTAGTGAGGGGAGGTTCCCAACTACGAGGGGGGCAGGCAGGCTGTTTAGTGGAAGGAATGTTACCCTTCATCTCACCCAGGAATGAGTGAAGTTTGGTCAGTTGTACAAACTGGAGCCGGCAGAACTGGAATTCCTTCCTAAATCTGGCAACTACTCCTGTGTCCTTACCACTGCTCCACAGGCTCAAATATGCGAATGAACAGACAGTTCTCAATATTCAAGACCTCTCAACTAAACTGGTGAGCTCTCCCCACAGGAATCTTGGGTAACAGACAAAGTGCCGTCTCACTTCTCTGGCTGCCCAGGGAACCTCCAGACTAATCTCGATCTGAAAGCACTCTGTAAAAGTCCTACTTTCTAGGTCTTTCTACAAAGGTTCTACTAACCAGGTCTGTCTGTATAGCAATGGTCAAGGTGGACAGTGCAGAGGCTGTCCTGGCTTCTGAGTTTGCAAACTTGGCTATGCAATCATTTATCTGTAGGCACTAAGACAAAACTGAGGTCCTCCCCAGGGATGGGTGGGAAGGAGCATTTGCTAGGGGATTATTCTCTACAGCAAGCACCAATCTATACCTGCAAATCAATCTAGAAATGTCTGTGAAGAATAATCTGCAACATATACACATGAATGCATTTCCCCATCTTCCAGCTATGTAAGGTAATATTACTGAGTGCTTTATAAAGTGAAAATTATAAAGCTGTCCGGATGTTCGACAGGATATGAAAAAACCTGCTGTTGTAACCTTGACAGCTGTTAGCTGAGTCAATTCATGAGGTGCTTATGATCTACTCTAAAATACGTACAATCATTCAAAAGCTGACAGGTACCAAACTGCATGTTCCTAATTAATTCCCAGGAAATTAAACAGACCTAGTGATGGTGGTGGGAGGTGGACAGGTACCTAGGTGGGAAGAGGCGGGTCCCCAGTGAAATCCCACCTTCAAGCCAGGGACAGCCTGAAGCCTCAGGGCACAGATGCCAGTTCCAGGTGAAGTCAGTGACCTGGAGTGAGAGCTTCCTTGATGCCTTTCAACCAATCAAGTGCTGCTTTTCCAGGCCTACCCATGGACCAGTCGACATGCACTTCCTCCATTCTGAGCCCATAAGATCCCCAGACTCAGCCACTCACTGGGACTACCTGCCTGCAGAGAGGAGCAACCCACTCCAGGTTTCCTATCCGCTGAGAGCTGTTCGGTCACCCAATAAAGCTCTTTTCAGCCTTGCTCACCCTCCATCTGTCCGCATAACTTCATTTTTCCTGGATGTGGGACCTGCCCAACAGTGAGAGCCAAAGGGGCTGTAACACTTTCCTGGATGGCTTGCCGAGCTGCAGGTGGGAGTTAAAGGGGCTGTAACACATTCCTGGCCAGCTCACCGAGCTACAGGTGGTCACATGCTCCTGGACCGCAGGTGTGAAGAGTGGCAACCCTTCTGGGGACCCAAACCTTGGGATTCCCTTAAGCAAAGCTGTAACACTATAATCCTCCCACTTTCCACCAGCACCAGGCAGCTGCCACATGCAAAAGGAAGGGTGGAGCTAGACCAGCCCAAGAGCTGCATGCTGGAGTGGGGCAGTGGGATTAAAGGAGCTGTAACACAGTGGGGTGAAACATGTTCCCCAGAAACACGGCCCCTGCTTGCTGTAATGCAGGTGATGAGAAGAGTTGTGGCCCTTCTGGGAGCCCAGATCAGAACCAGGCTATGACATGCTGTAACACCCTCTTTGAGGCTCTGCAATTCCTGGTATCTCTGAGATTTCACTTGTCACCACGTTCCCCTTGTCCACAAGCTGATGCCTGCAGCAGAAGCCAGCTGCAGTACGTCTGTTCCAGCCACAGCCTTGCATGGAGCCGGCACCTGGAGCTGCCTGCCCTGCTGCAATAGCGGACATGCCTGGCTGTGTGCAGAGGCTGGACTCCATGCTCACTCACTCACACACCCCTTGCTGCTCCATCCCTGGTTTGCCCTTGGCAGGCATAGGATCTGGGCTGGCAGTGCAAGCCTAACGCAGCCTGCTGGGCAGAATGGGTGGGAAGAGGCTAACGGGCATGAGCAAAACTCAAGCAGAGGCACTGCCAGTCACAGAGGTTTCCAGCTGGTCAAGTGACACCCAAAGGTGCCGTGATATTAGGAGAGGTAATAGTCTCTTAACAGAAAGAATTTCACTTATATGTACTTTGTGGGAAAGGTTACAGAAACAGCTTAAAATATAAAGAAGAAAGATACGAGTCAGAACTGCATGGAGCAGAACACAGTTTGTTCACAACTTACTTTTTCCCCCAGAACCTAGTACCTGGTACATGTTCAATAAACATCTTTTGAATGAAAGGTGTGGCAAACGTCGTCTCGATGAGTCTCATACATTGTCAAATTTATTTCAAAGGAGATAGAGATTACTTCTGAACTTGGTAAACAGCAACTTGACAACTCCCATTCCCACTAATACTGTAAGGGCAACAAGGTCAGCAGAGGGCCACTGACCATGACAAGTTAGGGACCCAGGGCAACACCTGTGCAGCATGGGAACCTCCAGGTGAGGCCAGAATGCCCCTGTACAAGCTCCTTTCCCGTAGCAGGGTCGCCCACATGAGGGACCTTACCACTGCCCTTACCTCCTCCTCCTCTTCTTCTGGGCTGGCTGCCCCACCGGTGTTCACCAAAAGGTCCTTGCTGCCCTCAACACCACGTGTGGCTTCCACAGGATCCTGCAAGGACACAGGCCCTGGCTCTCTCTGAGCAGACCCTTCTGCCCTTCCTTCACTCTCCTCCGAACTCACGGATGGGGCACTGTGATTGCTGTGACACTTGGCACTTCCTGCCCCGGGGCTCTGAGGGCTCTGGGGCTTGGGGGTGGTGGGCCTTAGAGGGGTGGGAGGCTGCTCAGGGTCAAATGTGAACTGGCTGCCAGCGTTTGGGTCACAGGAGTCTTTGCTCAACACATCCTGGACAATCGGGCTTGGCGAGGAGCTGCCAGCGCAAGCACTGTCGCTTTCCACCGCCCAGGAACTTTTGGCTTCAAGAGGAAATACGGCGGCGTCAGCGTCTACGTGGGGCCCCTTAGAGGTGGCCGAGCCGAACCCAGCGGCCACGGTGCAGGCTGCAGTGGTACCATGCATGACCGCCCCGCCCCGCCTGCTGTCCTGCTCAGTGCTCCTGGAGACGCGGCGGGAGTAGTCGTCATGCAGCCGGCTGTGTGCCTGGAGTCTCAGGCCGGCCTCACCAGGGGACGGGGCCCCACTCCTGGGACTCTCCCTCCTCCAGGCGGCCTCAGTCACATTGCTCACAAGTTTGAAGACTCTGTCAAAGTCCTTGGCCCTTATCGGGCTCCTCCAGCGTTTGGTCCTTCCTGACCCAGGCTTTTGGGAGTCAGTGGAGGAACTGCTTAGGGTCCTCTGGGGCACCTGTGCGTCATGCGCCGTCCTGAGGTCTGCAAGATTGGAGGTGGACTTCCGCTTAAAGGAGCTCTTCTTCAGAAAGGCAAGATTGTCAGTGCTCTTGCTCCTCCTGTAGCCCATGCTGTTGTTTTCAGGATCCCTCACGAGAATCTCACACATGGTGGGCACCTGGCCAGTGGCCGCCGTGGGTGTCGCCTGGTTCTGGGGCGCATCCAGCAGGCAGATGCGGCCCAGGCCGTAGGCTCTGCGGAGGCTGCGGGAGCGGTGTGTGCTCCGCTGGAAGGGATCGTCCGTGTCCTCGAGGTCGGAGCCATCCAGTGTGCCCCCCTCTGCTGGCCTGAGGGTACCACAGGCTGGTCCCGGTGCTGACGGGGAGCCCCTGCCTGCCTGGGCTCCTGGGACAGCGCCATTCAGGATGGGCTTTCCCAGGCCGTGCTCCAAAGCCTCTCCCTTGGAACAGGCATTTGACCCCTCTCGGCTCTGAATTCCTTTCAGGACTGAGGACTTCAGTTTCTTAAAGGATCCCATTTTCCGGAAGGAGGCGAGGGTGTTCCAGGTGGAGGAGCTGCCCACCAGCACCACGGAGCGGGGCCGCTCGGGCTGGGCACTCGTCCTCTTCCGGCTGGTGGCAAAGAGGCGCACAAGCTTGGCTGGGCTGAGTCTGGCTTCCTGGGTGTCTGTGTCGCCACCAGGGCTGCAGCCACAGACTCCGTTTCCACACGCAAGCGAGGTCACCATCTTGGGATCTTTCAGGTCCGAGCCTGGACAGGGGGCTGCGGGGCCTGGCCCGAGGCCGTTCGGGGCAGTGGTCATGTTCTCCGGGCAGGGTGACCAGGGCCGCACAGCAGCCTGGGTCATGGCCACGGGCACTGCCGAGTCCGCAGACCGCAGCTCCAGGCCTTCATCTCCAGGAATGCCGTCCCGGCACTCACACCTGCCTTGCACATCGGGCTCCTGGGTGACCACGGCCTGCAGCGGAAGACAAAACGGGCGGTTTAGCCATTTCCCACGCAGCAGCCCCTCTGCTCAGAGAAGACGACGCACGCTCCAGCACAGGGCTGGCCAGATGAAAGCTACTGCAAACTCAGTTACAACTGTACATTTCCCCTCCATTCACTTCGTAAGTTGAAGGAAAGATGCAAATATATATCCCTGGACAGAGAAGGGTAATTATGGACTGTGCCGTGGACATGAACTCACTGGAACCTGTGTAGGTGAGACTAGGAAAAAACTGCTGGAATGAAAATATCTAGGTATCATTCAACGCTATCTTTTCTTCTTATGTGAAATGGAAAAAAAAATTAGGAAATACCAAAAGAAAACCTCACAACAATTTCAAAAGGTGTGATGTTAAAATGCCAGCCTGTGTTGAATCCAACACACCGAATACTCAAACCAAGTGC